CGATATTCAAACTGAAGTCTAACTACCGACATGAGAGCTATTTATAGGAAAGTATAAAGACATATGGAGAAGTCGGATTAGACGGAGGACCGAGTCCTCCGTGATGTATGAGTAAGTATCAGTCAGATGTACGTCGGAGAAGTCGGAGGTCCGACGTGTCCGTGATAGAAGCGTATCAGAGCATAGCATAAGGCATAGGTATAAACCGAAGGCAGTACAAACCAAAAGGAGAACAAGAAGTCGGAGTGGACCGGGGCCGGGGAAGTCCGTGTGTGGCTGTTCGTCGGAGATGTTCGGATCCGAGAGGTCCGATGGCACGGCCCGTGACAACAACATATGCATTCCACATAGCCTGTGCAATCCGATCATGACAAGCGTCCGCGCCTGTTTTCTCTGCTTCCGCAACAGCAATGACAGGAATCTCAGCCTCCTCGACATCGCCTCCAGCGAGGAATGGGTGTCCTTCCACCATCAGGAAAATCTGAAATGCTATGAAGTGCAAGTCTTGATTATCATGGTCTATGATGGTTTATTGTGGGCTTTGAAATTACTGGTCGCTCTCTGGATGTCTATCGTGGTCTATGGCGGCCTCCATAGTTTCTCATGGACACTTCTATTGTCTATGGTGGTCTATGTAAGCTCTTATGGGTACTTTGATTGTCTACGGTGGTCTGTGTAACATCTTGCCGGAATTATGCTTGTCTACGGCAGGTTGTAACTTCAACTTGTAACTTGTCCGGTCATGATATTTTTTATATTCACGGAGATCGAGAATTAAATGGACAACCTTAACAAGAGCATCTTAATTGACTTAATATTAGGTTCAAGAATCAAAGCTCAACCAGGCAGCGCTGCTCGCCACAATTAGTGGTAAATTGGTAATTACCTCACTGTTCAATATCAAAATTCAATCTTCATGTAATACTTAGTCAGCATTGAGTCAGGGTGGAAAGGCTGGATGCCGAGTGAAGTACCTAGATGGACTTGTAGCAATTGAATCTCAGTTAAATGAGACCTACAGGGTGCTGGAATGGTGCCTGCTAACATTGTCTCTCAGGGCGGTCTTGCAACGCCGCCGGCTTGTAGCCGGTGTCAGGATTTTCAATCTCCGCCATCACGACGCGCGTCGTTTCGTAATCATTGACGAGTTGGTGACGAGTCCTTCCTTCCTTTCCCCCACATCGCATTTCCTCTTTTCTCTCCTTTCCTCACCATGCACCCTCATTCCTAAAAGGCTTCAAACTTCTCTGGCTCGGCCTCAAGGATCAAGACCAGGAGAAGTCGAATACACTCTATCCAAGCTGCCCCGTCATTTTGGGTCGCAAGTTTCTACTCCCTCGTCATCAACCTTTCTGTCGCTTCAAAATTGCAGACCGCAAATTAGTTCCTTTTATCAATATTCAACCAGCCCTCACTCAATCCTATCAAATAACTCAAAGTTCTCGACCCCTTCAAATTACCATTCGTCAACTGCTCCATCCGTGAATGTCAAGTGACTCAGTCCCCCAGGTGTCAATACTTGTAACTTGCCATGCAAGACTGCAAGATGCTGTGACTTCAGACATGACTCAGAGTACTAGTGTGAACTACTTGTCCTTATCCAGATTGTACCCGTTACGAATTAGACTTTATGCCTTTGCACATTTACTTCTTTGAGTCCTCTGAGATCTATCAAAACTATTGGTGCTATCCTCGCTACTCTGCTCTCATAGAATCTGCAGCATCTATGTGGGTCTATGTGGTTGAAACCGCCCCTCCACCTGTCTATATAGACAGGGGGTTTGCTATCATGTCTTTCATGTCTTCTTTGGTCTATGCAGGTCTATCAGGCAGTTTCAGATTTTCCTGATGACGTCGTACTCCTCATCCTCCTCCAGGTGGTTGATGGGTTCGTGAAGGCGCAAGAAGTTGTGGAGAGCACCGGCCACACCAACCATCAACACCTGCTGTTCATACCCCATCTCCGGTCGTGAAATCAGCACTCTAAAACGATGTTTGTGCTCAATAACATTGCGAAGCTGTGCGTGACGGAGATTAAAGAGTTCCTTTGGATTTTGTGGACTATTAACAGCGTAGATTAGTGTCGTGCACATTGGAAAACAGAACAAAAGTGCCTGACCGTTGTCTTCCCCGCTTCCATTCGTTTAGATGATACCTGATGTTGTGATACGGTGCGAGTAACATGTTGCAGTTAGGGAATGCAGCATCAGCTAGATAATATGAGCCAGCAGGGAGTAGGAATCCGTTTTGGCGAGCACAGTCAAACAGAAGTCCATCCGCCGCGGTTCCCTCGTAGCCAGGCATCAAATGGAGGAAGCACATCCCAAAATCGCATGTTGCAAGAACGTTCTGTGTGATGATTTCATGGTGGTCGTGATATCGAGCTATATGCGGTTCAAGAACATAGGCATCAACATGGACTCCTTTGATCGCTCCGCGGCAGTATTTGAACCAAGGATACCATCGGGGATTACTGTGAATATGCTCGGGAGTCTCGTTGGCAGGGTTTTGGATGTATTTGTGGTAAAATGAGTCCGTGAAAAGCTCCAGTCCCTTGTTCACATAGCGGCTGATTGTATCTCCGGACCGTGTCAAGAACCGTTCCCGGCGGACCGATAAGGAAAGTCGGCGGAGTAAAACGGGGCCGGTGACGACGGGCCCGCGCGGGAGCCGTACTCGGTGAAAGGGAAAAGGTAGAGGGCTATGGCTTCAGCTCGTGCGCTGCGCCCTTCTCTACGCCCAGTGCCCAAATTTCAGGATAGAGTCGAAGACAGAATGCGGAGATGAACGGAGTCCGCAAGAGAATGAGAGTAAGGCAAGTCTAAGTCGATATTCAAACTGAAGTCTAACTACTGACATGAGAGCTATTTATAGGAAAGTATAAAGACATATGGAGAAGTCGGATTAGACGGAGGACCGAGTCCTCCGTGATGTATGAGTAAGTATCAGTCAGATGTACGTCGGAGAAGTCGGAGGTCCGACGTGTCCGTGATAGAAGCGTATCAGAGCATAGCATAAGGCATAGGTATAAACCGAAGGCAGTACAAACCAAAAGGAGAACAAGAAGTCGGAGTGGACCGGGGCCGGGGAAGTCCGTGTGTGGCTGTTCGTCGGAGATGATCGGATCCGAGAGGTCCGATGGCACGGCCCGTGACATGGAGGTAAAAGGCGATGCAGGGCAATACGACGTAGGTGGAAGATGGAGGGGGAAAGAGAGAGTGCTTTGACATTGTGGGTACCCGATCAAAACAAACCAACATGCACGTGCCAGTTTGTTCCGGATTCTTCCGATTCGGTCCGTTTGACTCAGTCCCTGGTTCGGGTTTGTCTCGACTCTCCGAGCCGCCTCCCTTTGTGAGCAATCAGTTCACTGAATTCCATCGTGTAACAGAACCCAGCATGCACTGAGATCTTGGGCATGCTTACGTCAAATCAGAACCGATGGCCTGTCAAGTTGAACATTCACCGCCTCAGACTCCAGAGACACCTTTCGGCCTGATTGCTAGTATATCATTTCTAACAATTGGAAAGTAAGAATATCACATTTACTCCGTGACTCATTATTGAGAATTCAATTCTCGAGGTGCGAGCCTGTGTACTGTATTTTTTCATTCAGCTCGACAGTCATGCGTCACGCACCCCTCTGTCGATATCGAATTTTTGTCGAGGTCACGCGTCACTTGGGGCTTTATCGAAACCAAAATTCCTGTCATGCAGGGGAAAATCCTTCGAAACCACCCAAAAACGAAATTTCGCGTTGTAATTTTCGTAAAAAATTTCCGCAGGTCACGCAAAATTTTCAGGCTTGTCGAATTGTCGAATTGGTCTCGGTGGGTCACGCGTCACACCCCCTGTCGATTTGATTGAAAAAACACAGTAATTGGTTATCGACCTCCAAATTGAACCCCTAACTTGCTGGCCACGAACACTCAACTAACAAGTAAGATCAACTTCGACAGACAAGATGTGTCCTGAGCAAGTGAACATGCAAAGTCGAGAGTGCCGGCACCCCCAATCATCGTCTGTACCGACCGGCTCCTGAGTCTCTCACTGCTCAATGCTTCCCTGATTAACATTCCTCCCAATGAATAAGTCAAAGCAACTCTCTACATATCGATATCCAGGCTTCCCATCAAATCGATCCGGCGGGGGCATGAACCCCAATGATCTCGGACTCTTCTCCTTTTACAATCACGTATGGTCAATGCGGTATTCTCTCGTGTTCAAACTCAGGATTGATATATGTCGGGCAATGTTTCAGTAAGGCAATACAATACATTCAGTCATTGGCTGATTAAAACCTCCATTTTTACACTGTAGAAGAAACCGACTCAGTGCTGCATATTGCATGATGGATGACAGTTATATAGTTGCACAGAGACATTGTTGATAGACGGCAAAACTCATAGACCACAAGAGTTACCCATAGTCCTTCATAGTGTTCCAAAACAGGTTCATAGACGTTCATACACCTGTATAGACAATGAGAGACATTGATATTTACCGCTTCCTCTATCATAGCATTTCGGTTTTTCCTGATGCACCTCATCTAACCAGATACGACCTGAGAGTATGGATGTGTGCATCGGACGCAGGAGGGGCCTCTCGAGGGCTAGCAGTTCCGAGGCGAAGAAAATGACTGCCATTGCAGCGGCGGAAAGCGCAGAGCGACATTTCTGGAGGATAGATATCTTGACCTGTCTGCAGTATACCGTCACAGGAGCGGGCATTTGGATGTATGGGGAGCGTAAAAGCGATGAACATTGAGCAAAGAGCAAGTAACGAGAGGACGGTACGACAACAGTGGAAAGATGACGGGCGGAAGCAAAAGGTCAGTGTGACTTGATGTGACATGATTCCTACAGAAATCCTATCGAAATCCTAGCCCATCCGATCAGGCCCTAAGGAATGAAAGTGTCAAAGGTTTGAAGAAAACAGTGTCAAGGTTTCCAAAGAAAATCAAGGAGAGAAATCGGAAAAATTCAGCAATCAAGAGGAGATGGCCTGACCCGGATTCGAACCGGGGACTTCCTCAAAGAGTTTGTCCACACGGCAAATTCAGAGGATGTGTAACCACTACACCATCAGGCCATTCTCACCCCATTGCTCTGTCTCCAAATGCCTTTCCCTTTCATCCCACATCCCAGACACAAGCTCATTTGAACTTCAAGTCTTCTTCTTCTCAAATGGTTTGAAGCCTCGTCTTGTGCTGAAACAGTTCAGGGTGAGTGAGACTACTCTGAGGATTATTGAGAGAGAGAAAAAACTCTGATGAGGTGATATGAATTTTGGGGTTGACAAAACAAGAAAACTTCAGCAGAATGCAACTAGGGCCTGACCCGGATTCGAACCGGGGACGTCTCCAAACAGAATCGCCTGCAGAGAAAGTATAGGAGACATGAAACCACTACACCATCAGGCCATTCCAACAGAGCCATCTTTGGCTCCATGGCCAACTGCCTGCCCTTCATCATTGATCCTGCATCCATGCACAAACTCTTTCCAAGGCTTCTGAAGGGAAAAAAGTGGGAGAAAACAATGTCAAGATTTGGGGGGAAAAAAGAAGAAGAAGAAGAAGAAGAAGAAGAAAAACCAAAAATCCGAGACAACATGGCCTGCCCGGATTTGAACCGGGGATTTCCTCGTAACATCCCTTTCAAACTCCGGACTCATAGAGGATGTGTTACCACTACACCACCTTCTGGTCTGCAGGGAGTCAAAGTTGATAGCAAGGAATTGCTATTGGCTACCCACGAGGTTTTACCTGTATGACCCACCTGTTGTGGCCACAACGGGTCGGGACGATCACTGAATATTTAGTCTTTCCGCCCCCCTTCAGTAGTGCGTGTGTTCTACGTAAAGATCGGTAGCCATTTAGCCTACAATCAGTTACCAAAGTCTTCGTAGTAAACTGGCTGTTCCAGTTGTGGGACCGCGTCAGTATAATATACTTCCTTCCTTCCTTCAACCAGGTCATCACCCACCAAGTACACTGCATGCACTCCTATGTTGTCATGCTTCTAGCTCTTCAACTATTGCAGTTTTGCCTACACGTAGACCTGAACCAGTGAGAACTAGTGCCGCTTTGCCTACTGAGAGACCTACCACTGAGACTCAGAGGGAACTAAGAAGGATTGAGGACAGGAAAGAAGGGTTTAATCTAAAGAGAAAAAAGTTGGTCGCCCATTCAGGGCCTGACCCGGATTCGAACTGAGGACTTCCTCAAAATATTGACAAGCCAAACAAAATATATCATGAGGACATGTAACCATTACTGTACTATTTCGACCATTTCTTCAGTGACGGGTGACACCCGATTTTTTTTGATGTGCTCAAAAAACGCCTTAATTCAAAAGGAAATTTATCGGTCGCTTCGGTCGACCAAAATCTAAAAATAGTGAAGAAACGGTCAAAATAGTACAGTACACCATCATGCCTTTCAAGCATTGAGCAGCCACATATGAGACCAGGAAGAGTAGTCCAAAAAGCCTTAGTTGGTTGTGGAAAACAAGTGGAAAAGGTGTTGAATTCTTGGGATGTCCAAGTATCAAACCAAGGTCATCCTTTTATACTTTTAGCACCATAAGCATGACTATAACCGAAGGATGCATAGCCTGAACAGCCTCACAGGGAGTCAAGGGAATCCTTGTTTCGTCAAGATGAACAAGAAGAACGACAGTTCGTTGCAGGAAACAATCCCCCACAATGGCAAAAGTGGTTGGCGATAGAAAAAAAGTGGCAAAAAAAGTGTCGAGAGCGCCCACTGACAAGTATCAATGATGGGTGCTGGTTCAATCGAGTTTCAGAAGACAGGGGCCACGCCATACAGTCCTCCTGTATGCAACTGACACTGCTGCACTGCCATTCTGGCCAAATTGTGGCCAGTCAAGGATTTACTGAGAGCTGGTTTCCAGCCAATGTTCCAAGAGAACAATCAGCTCCAGCCTGGACCTTGCTGTTGTATCGTCATGGCCAAGTCATGGCTCTAACATATGCCATGATGCCACATACTGTACAACCAAAATTCTCTGCTGCACACCAACGTCCATGACACTATCTAGTGCCGTACTTTGCCACAATATGGGAAAACAAAGAATTGGGACCAGTGGGAGGGTTTACTGAAGATTTGAATGTTTGAAGTGGTGTTCAGTCACAATACATCGAGCTTGACAGTATTAAAAATCCGGAACAAAGCTAAAGAAGGGGTTATATCTGAAACGCAGCACCACAAAAAGAGATGGAACCCAGGCATCACTCAAACAGACCGAGAGTATGTAGACTGCATTTCAACAAACTCAGTGAATCTGTTGACCTTATGCTACCTAGAGAAATGAATGGCATTTTCAACCTAATTTTATCGGAAAATATTCCTTGGTCCGATGAGGCGTCATACCCTCCGGTCTGCAGTGAGGACTCAACACATGGCATCGATTGGAGCTCGTTCTCAACCGTTGAGAAAAAAACAGGTTTGAGTAGACTATGAGCTCGGGCATTGGATAGGCAGTTGGGTTGGAAACAGAGCGAAAATAAACTCGGATCAAATGAAATGGAGGTAACATGCGCTTGGATTCCACTTATTGGCGTCCGTGAGGGATCAAATTGGAACTATTCAACCCAAGGCTGTATAGTAATCACTGTGCGACGAGGTCATAGCTTTTGGTCATAGCTTTTGTTACCCATGTGGTGTCCAGATAATTCTCTGGGATTGGAAAGAGCACTGCACAACACGAGACCCCATTGTTCCGCCACTCTTTGAAAATATTGCAATGATCCCGGGGAACGCTATATTTTCACGAAATTATGTACAATCCCGATAAATGCATTGTGACGACCAGTAAATTTCCTCAACCCTCTGCGCATCCCAGAACTACCTCGCGCAAAAACAAATCCGGCGTGTCCCAATGCAGCTCAATGGCGAGCATCAGCATACGTCTCAACAAGTTGGATGAGGACCACTCACAAAATGATTGCCTCCCTCGACGAGCCTGAACTTTGTACGCCGCGGCTTTTTTCCGATTGCAATTGCATCTTCGTACCTGCGTGACGACTCCACGTACGCCCCGATGCAGAAAGAGCAGCTGTGGATCCCGGAAATATAGAAGATGTTTACTTCCGGAAAGTGGGTTGTCACCAGGCCTTCGTCAAAGAGCGCGTTGGTGGTTTGCGTCTTAAACACGGCCTGCATGGGCGGGGCGTAGCTGTAGATCAGTCTCAGTTTCTTCCGCGGTAAATTGAACCCGATTGCCTACGCCGGGAATTCAGTCCCAATGCCTGCCGAGATGTCGAAATAGTGTTCTCTCTGCTCTTTGCTCCATTTGTTCACCGTCCGCCTCTTACTGCGTTTTGTGGAAGAAAACCCAGTCGGTTTCCCGGAGGCGAGATCGGGGTGTTTGAAGTACGAACTGACCCAGTCCAAGAAGTTGTCGTATACCAGTTCAATTGTAGGGTATGTGCTATCCGTGAAAGGATTATAGAAGCCTTCGTGATCAGGCAAAGGATAGCCAAGGGCGGTATAGGGTGGATCTAATATGAAGGAGGTTCGTACGTCAGAAAATATTCCACGCTTCCGCAAGAAATCGAACCATAGAGTACGAGACTCATCACGTATGGCTCGATGCTTTCATATAACGGCTTGGGAATGACCGCTGGGTCAGACAACAAGGCAAGAGCGGTCGCATTGCCAAAACTCCAGCCGAGGAGAATAAACCCTCCACTTTTGCGATCAGGACCGACTTTGGGGATATTCTCATGCTTGATGAAGTGTTCGAAAAACCAAGCAATTTGAAGAGACAGCCGGTCCTGGAAAACTTTGCGGCCGGCATTCAAATCCGCAAGCTCTTCGTCGGAGTATTTTGTGGAACCGCGGTAGTCTCTGCGGTTCCAAATAATTACACGCAGATTGTTCTGGTGCGCATGTTCGTGGAGGGTGATCATACCATCTGCGCCAGCATATGAATTGCGCATTTCACATGGATAATTGCGCTTCCGTACCTCCATTGAATACGCTTCCATGGAGGACAACAAGAGTGGTGTACTCTGTTCAGTGAGGTGACCCACTGTCGGTGTAAAGCAACTCGATACCGTCGGGCAACTTGACGGTTCGCTCAGTGTACGAAGAGGGTATGGCCGTCGGGCTCATGGGGATTCGATGGTTACGTGAGGATCGTCAGAGTGCCTGAACTCGGGAGAGAAGGCTGAGATCTTTTATATCTCAGGACCCCGGTACTGCACCTTCGATCGCTCTCAACTGACTCTGTCTCTCAGCCCTTTCTCCACGGAGTGCGGGAACACCGGTTTCATTTCACCGATTCCGCGACTATTCCGTGCCGGCGCGACCTCCGGCTCTGGCGTAATTCACTAATGGGGGAGAGTCATTTGCGCAACGGGGACACGAAAATAGTCCCTGATAGGCGGCCGATTGGCAGAGGGCTATGTCAAATATGCCGGTGGGAAGCTTCTTGAAGACATCTTTGAACACAGAATGAGTGCGAACATCTTGACAGAGATTATTCAGCGGCAGTACAGCAGGTACTTGCTACGCGGTCAACTGGATCAGAGCTGATGAGTATAATTGAACCTCCAGATGACTCCGGGTAAAGACCTCACATGAGTACGGAGTGACGCGACGAAAATTCCCACCGGAATCCAAATCCTCTTCCTCTCGCATTCTTTCCTAATTATCGGCAAAAGAAGCTCGAGCAGCGACGAGCTCGTGATTCCACTCTGTAGCTTTCAAAGAAAGAAAGACGTTGAATGGCTCACAAGAATGTTCTCGTATGTAAAATGAACAGGAAAATACGACATCAGGTTCACTCTTCGACTAAGATGAGACAACACTATTCCAGTCCGCATTTTATCTGTTTCGAAAAAGTCAACCGAAGGCATGCATCGAATAGCTGCCTGGTACACTGGAAATCAGACAAGTAATTCGTTCTGGTGACAACAGAATCAAGGCCGTACATATAAAATGTTAACACCCTGTCCAGCGTAACTAGAGAGTTTATGCAGCTTCGTCACGGGTACACTGTTCCCAGAGGGCACGGAACTGGGGGTGCATGGTATTCGCATCGGCTGTATGCACTTCGTGAGGGGTTTGCCGCTGGCGAAATCGACCACACTCACCCACTGTTTGGGCAGTACGTTCTTCGATTGTGCCGTCGGGACACTTCCACCACTGGAGCACAAAATGATGCTCTTCTTCGAGCCACAGAGTTGACAGGTTGGGGCACCGCTCCAGGAGCCCGTCGCGCAATTCGGCGAGCGATGGGGGATCTCCACTGTCTGGCTCCTCAACCCCCTCTATGTCATAATCGAAGTCCCAAGAGATGCTAAGGTGTTTGAGTGTGGGCAACGATGGCGGGTCGTCAGCGAGCGCGTGGAAGAATGTGGTCGCCTGTGCCACCCCTCGTGAATGCAAAGTCATTCATGACAGTACCAATGCCTACCTGAAGGTTTAGACCATTTTGCAACAGTGCTACATCGTCCTCGTCCATATACACGACGACGGCGACCTTGAGCTGCGTGAGACGAGGGAAAAGTCCATACAGCGTGATGAGCGTGGCTAGCTCAAAGTCGTTGAAGCGGATTTCTAGCGAAGTGATGGTGGAAGGTATGCTGAGCCGATCGATATGAGCCGCGAAGTCGATGGGGCTGCAGCCAAACATGCATAGCCGTCGAAGGGAGGGCAGAGTGGTTCTTCGGGTCAGT